ACCCAGGAGGCGGAGGTTGCAGTGAGCCGAGATCGCGCCATTGCACTCCAGTCTGGGCAACAAGAGCGAAACTCCGTTTCAAAAAAAAAAAAAAAGTGAAAAGGTTGAAAATGATGCCCTCACATTTATTAATTTGTGCCTCATTTATTAATTTGTGCCTTTAGGTAACTGGAATTTAGGTGCAATACAACTAGAATACATAACTCATGAAGCCAAGAGTCCATCTTTTTTGTTTTTTGTTTTTTTTTTACTGTGAATATATTTTTTATTTAGTCATTCTGTTTACAATTGAAAATCTGGGAATTCAAAATTAACATCCTTGCTCGTGAGCTTCTTATAGACACCAGAAAAACTTTCAACCTTGTGTTCCACATTGTTCTGCTGTGCTTTGTCCAAATGAACCTTTATGAGCCGGCTGCCATCCAGTTTCACGCGGATTCTCTTGCCCACAATTTCACTTGGGAAGACCAGGTCCTCAAGGATTGCATCGTGCACAGCTGTCAGTGTACGGCTTCTGGGACGCTTTTGCTTATTTTTTGTACAGCTTTTTCGAGTTGGCTTAGGCAGAATTCTCCTCTAAGCGATAAAGACAACATGCTTCCCACTGAACTTTTTCTCCAATTCGAGTACTAGCCGGACTTGGATTTTCTGGAAAGATTTTAGTTGAGGAACAGGAACAAAGATTATGATAGGTTTCCGGCCACCAACAACTTCAATTTCCTTGACTGCCGTAATATTCAGCTCCCTGAGCTGAGCCTTGAGGTCCGAGTTCATCTCCAGCTCCAGAAGAGCCTGGGAGATGTCGGGCTCGAGTTGTCTGGCTTCTCGACATTGGGCTTCACGATCTTGGCGCTTAAACTGAACATGGCTTTCTCTTTGGTGAGCGCCGGCTTAGGTAAAACAAGGATCCAGGCCGGGCGCGGTGGCTCACGCCTGTAATCCCAGCACTTTGGGAGGCCAAGGTGGGTGGATCACGAGGTCAAGAGATAAGACCATCCTGGTGAACAAGGTGAAACCCATCTCTACTAAAAATACAAAAAATCAGCTGGGCATGGTGGCGCGTGCCTGTAATCCCAGCTACTCAGGAGGCTGAGGCAGGAGAATTGCCTGAACCTAGGAGGCGGAGGTTGCGGTGAGCCGAGATCGTGCCATTGCACTCCAGCCTGGGTAACATGAGTGAAACTCCGTCTCAAAAAAACAAAAAACAAAAAACAAACAAAAAAAAATCCATCTTTTATAATCACGGCCTAATATAAAGTATGACACATAGCGCATGTATTTAAATATCTATTAATTTAAATTAATTGAGTACATTTTTGCTTCAACCTAGTAAAAATAGATATTCAGAAAACTGAAACAGCCTAAATGTCTTGGGAAGCTACTTAAATAACTATATTATATTCATGCAATAAAATATTGTAAGCTGTAAAAAAATAACAGGGGTACTAATAAGGAAAAAACTTCAAGATAAATTTTTACCATTTATGTAAAACAGGTGGGAGGAAGGAGAGGGAAGGATGTGTGAGCACTACCTTCAATCCTCACAGGCAGTGACTTTTGTGGAGCGCCCTCTAGTGGCATATATACAAATATGGAAGGATTTAGAGAAAATACAGATTGGCTTTGAATGGCTGAGATTTTCAAAGTATGTTACTTTATAAGAATCAATTTTTATTGTTTTAATTTTTTGGAGATACGGTCTCACTCTGTCGCACAGGCTGGAGTGCAGTGGCACGATCAGAGCTCACGGCAGCCTCTCTTTCATGGGCTCAACAGGCACATGTCACCATGCCCAGCTAAGAATCAATTTTCAAAAGTACAAAAAAGCTATGTTATATATTAATGTGGAGTTATGCATTAAGTGGGCAATAGGAATTAGAGTAGTGTGTCTGTTATCACTTCTGATAACAGATACATAATGCAAAGATATATATTTTACACATTATCTGGAAAAGCTTATACAGTACTGTTGCTGGTTTTCTATGTAGGAAAGCTGCCATTTATTGAGTGCTTACTATTTCACATATGGACAGCATATTTAAAAAATTACCACACACTTTCATTGTATTCAGTGTGTCGCTTTGAATATATTGCTGTGTACATGGTCTGCCACTGGACATGGTGAGAGGTGCAGATTGCAGATTAAGTTGAAATTATTGAGGACAGCAACACAGGAAGTAAACTGAGCTGAGTGCGGTGGCTCAGCCTGTAATCTCAACACTTCAGGAGGCTAAGTGGATCAGGAGGATTCAGGAGGATCAGTGGATTCAGGAGGATCACCTGAATCCAGGAGTTTGAGACCAGTCTGTGCAACACAGCAAGACCCCATCTCTAAAAAAGAAAAGAAAAAGTTTCAATTTAGCAAGGCATGGTGGCACATACCTGTAGTTTCAGCTACTTGAGAGGTTGAGGCATAAGGATCGGTTGAACCTGGGAGGTCAAGGCTGCAGTGGGCCCTGATCATGCCACTGCTCTCCAGCCTGTGTGACAGAGAGAGACACTGTCTCAAAAAACAAAAAAGAAAAAGAAAAAAGAATACGTGCAAGATCACATAACGTATGCTATGCAAAATCAATTAACATAACATTTAAAGGCTGGGCGCCTGTGGCTCACACCTGTAATCCCAGCACTTTGGGAGACCAAGGTAGGCGGATCACGAGATCAGGCGTTCAAGACTAGCCTGACCAATATGATGAAACCCCATACCTATTAAAAATACAAAAATTAGCCAACGTGGTGGCGCCCACCTGTAGTCCCAGCTACTGGGGAGGCTGAGGCAGGAGAATCACTTGAACCCAGGAGGCAGAGGTGGCAGCGAGCCAAGACTGCACCACTGCTCCTCGGCCTGGGTGACAGAGCAAGACTCCATTTCTAAATAAATAAATAAATAAATAAATAAATAAAATGTAAGTGCTGAAAGAAATGAGCAGCCCACGGTGATACTGGGTGGTTTCACTTCTTGGACACATCAATCACCTTTGCCCAAAGACCATGTCAGCCAAATGACTGCTCTCACAGCTCCAGGAATCCTCCCATTTCAGGAGATTTGAGGCAGTTGAGGGCATGGAAGTAAATAAGTTGAGCTCATCAGAGACCTTGTATTGTGGTGGTTACAAGAGCCAGTTCTAGGACTAGAAAGACTGGCTTGAAATCCCAGCTCCGCCACTTCCCAGTGGTGTGACTTTATCAAGTTCTTTTACCTCTTTTGTACCTCCCTTTTCTCATCTGTAAGACATGAGTGATAATATTTTAATATTTGTTTTGTTATTGTGAGGATTAAAGGTGTTTATGCAAGTAAGCCACTTAGAATGGTGACACATAGATCTCAGTAAGGTGATTATTTTATCGTTGTTTTCAGAGATGCTGTGATTTCTCCAAAGTGGCTGTGACCGGCTGGCTCCTGACCCTCTTTGCTCCCACATGCCTCCATCCTCATTCTGATCTCCCATCCAGCTTTTGACAGCTTGCTTGATGCTAGACAATTACACACACCCTAATGCCCCCAAACCCTGCCCACAAGCATCTTGTGCATAATTCTTCTACCTGAATATGGGTCAGGGAGAAAGAGCATCCTAGGACATTTTAGGTTTTTGAAGGAGAAAATCCCCACTTGGTAAAAAGCCAGGGATCCACAGCGGCCACTTTTTTTCATGGGATTCACCCCACCAATCTTGACTTTCAAACCATACAGCACCAGAGTAGCCAAATATTGCTTGTGCCCAAATGCTAACTTCCTTGCAGGGTGAAAGAATAAGCAGTTCCCAAACTCAGCTGACCAGAATCTGTCCTTCTAACTTCTTATGCCTATCTCGGACAAAAGCAGAAATGCATGTCTCAGCTGTGTTTCTACCTCTTGCTGCCCCACATAAATTTTTGGGTTGCCCAATATAATTTTTTGTGATGATGGAAATCTTCTGTATTTGTGTTGTGTGATGAGACAACCGGTAGCTGTAGTGTTATTGAGCATTTGAAAGATGGCTAGCATAATCACGGAACCAAATTTTAAATTTTATTTAATTGTAATTAATTTTAAGTGGCCACTTGCAGGTAGTGATCGCTGCATTGGACAGCATGGCTCTATATTGAGTCTTTTTTCTTATTTGTTGAAGCACGCTTGCCTTAAGATTTTTTTTTTTTTTTTTTTAGTAGAGACGGGGTTTCACCATTTTGACCAGGATGGTCTCGATCCCTTGACCTCGTGATCCACCCGCCTCGGCCTCCCAAAGTGCTGGGATTACAGGCTTGAGCCACCGCGCCCGGCCTAAGATTATTTTTGAAGAAGTATATTTTTGGAATCCAGTACCAATGCTGGTCTCACCCTTGTAGTTCTCAGCTGAGCCCAGAGGTGAGAGAAAGGTCCTTCTCCATTCCAGATCTCACTCTCCCCCATGACACTGAGGAAACTGGCAAGTGATGCGAAGGCTGGAGAGCATGTCCTGTAACCTGGCTCTGTCTCTGATGCCTACGTTGACTGACAGTTAATTGCTGCCCTTGCTGGTCTCCCTTCCTCCAGCCTTGCCTCTCTGAGCACTCCTGACATTCAACTCATTACTTTCCTAAAAACATGCTTTGGGGACAAGAAACTAACAAATCCCAAGTGATCCATCACATATACAAACATACTGAAGGGAGCTGGGATTTGCGGTAGGAAAAAGGAAGGTTAGACTTCAAGAAGAATGGTCTGGCGATGACATTTGTGAGACAATAGAAATAGGAATAAAAAAATATGTTTTATTTCTTTTTTTAAGAATCAATAATAATTCCTCCCTTTTGATTAGTTGGTAGGGCTGGGTGGATTGGAGGAACCTTACATGTTCCATGAACAAGCCTCTTCCTGAGGTCCTGTAAGTGATCCTTCCTCACTGATTAGCCCCTAGAAAACCCTTCAGAGGCTGGATCTCCAGAAAGGAGTGGGGGAGGAAAGCCCAGTACCAGGCAGCCTCTGCTCCATTGCTCTGAGGGGATGGGGAAGGCAAACCCTGGTCATCCCCTCAGTCTGTAGCCCTTTTGTGTGACTGCCTGGCAAGGGTGACGTGGGGCTGTTCCTACGGGCACAGCTGCAGCACTGACCAGAGTGGAGGCAGGGCCCAGGCACACTGCCCTCCCAGACCTTCCCTCGGGCTTTGCAGCAGTAAGGGGACATGCACCCCAAGGGCCTCTGCTTGGCCTGACCCTGCAGTGGGGGCTCTCTGTCCCCAGGAACAGTGGAGATGGCAAACTTATCGAGACCCTCTCCGCCCAGCTGCCTCTGCTCCTTCCTCCTGCTCCTCCTCCATGTGTCTTCCAGCTACACAGGTAAGACATGTATTTTCCTGCCCTGGGGAGACCCTGAGAACAGACAGACTAGTGTCATGGGGCTTAGCTCCTTCAGTCATCCTCAAGTTGCTATATTATCTTTCTGAAGCATAGACCTGCTGACATGGCTCCCTTCCTCAGAAGCCTTCTGTAGGTTCTTACAGCCTTCACGATAGAGTCTAGACTTTTTTTTGAGACAGAGTCTCCCTCTGTTGCCCAAGCTGGAATGCAGTGGCTCGATCTCAGCTCACTGCAACCTCCGCCTCCTGGGTTCAAGTAATTCTCCTGCCTCAGCCTCCCGAGTAGCTGGGATTACAGATGCCTGCCACCACCCCTGGCTAATTTTTGCATTTTTAGCAGACATGGGGTTTCACCATGTTGACAAGACTAGTCTCAAACTCCTGACTTCAAGTGATCAGCCCTCCTCAGACTCCCAAAATGCTGGGATTACAGGTGTGAGCCACCGCACCCGGCTTCTAATTTTTCTTTTTGAGGAAAAAAAAAAGTTTCTGATTATAGAGATACTGTGAATGTCCTGGACAGAACATTCTAGCAATCCTCTCATCTCGGCATCTGTCCATCTTTTTGCCAACTCTGAGTCTTTAGCCCAACCTTTAGGTTCCCTCTTGGAATGTGGTTCACCGAGGTTTAATTATCCCATGGGCATCCCGGTTATGACTTGACCAAATTGCTGCCTATTCTACCCTTAGAGGTCAGGAGTTCAAGACCAGTCTGGCCATCATGGTGAAACCCCATCTTTTTTTTTTTTTTTTGAGACGGAGTTTCACTCATGTTACCCAGGCTGGAGTGCAATGGCGCGATCTCGGCTCACCGCAACCTCCGCCTCCTGGGTTCAGGCAATTCTCCTGCCTCAGCCTCCTGAGTAGCTGGGATTACAGGCACGCGCCAGCATGCCCAGCTAATTTTTTGTATTTTTAGTAGAGATGGGGTTTCACCATGTTGACCAGGATGGTCTCGATCTCTTGACCTCGTGATCCACCTGCCTCGGCCTCCCAAAGTGCTGGGATTACAGGCTTGAGCCACCGCGCCCGGCGAAACCCCATCTTAAAAAAAAAAAAAATTGGGGCCACGTGTGGTGGCTCATGCCTACAGTCCCAGTGCTTTGGGAAGCCAATGCAGATGGATCACCTAAGATCAGGAGTTCAAGACCAGCCTGGCCAACAGGATGAAACCTCATCTTTACTAAAAATACAAAAATTACCCGGGTGTGTTGGCAGTCACCTGTAATCCCAGCTACTCAGAAGGCTGAGAAAGGAGAACCGCTTGAACCTGGGAGGCAGAGGTTGCAGTGAGCCAAGATCGAGCCACTGCACTCCAGCCTGGGCAACAGAGTAAGACTGTCTCAAAAAAATAAAATAAAATAAAGAAAGAAAGAATAAAAGAAAAGTTGCATTCCTCCCTGACTCTAAAATTCCTTTTAAAAGTTGAGTGTATTCTTTCTTCCCTGTTTTGAACCAGCCTTTCCCAAGACAGGCTTGCTTGCCAAGGTTCGCCGTGACCTTCAGTCTCTTCCTTTTGGTGTCTTGAACAGGGCAGTTCAGAGTGATAGGACCAGGACACCCCATCCTGGCTCTGGTCGGGGATGAAGTGGAATTGCCATGTCGCATATCTCCTGGGATGAATGCTACAGGCATGGAGGTGGGGTGGTACCGCTCCCCCTTCTCTAGGGTGGTTCATCTCTATAGAAATGGCAAGGATCAAGTTGGAGAGCAGGCACCTGAATATCGAGGTCGAACGGAGCTGCTGAAAGACGGTATTGGTGAGGGAAAGGTGACTCTCAAGATCCGGAATGTAAGGTTCCCAGATGAAGGAGGTTTCACCTGCTTCTTCCGAGATCATTCTTACCAAGAGGAGGCAGCAATACAATTGCAAGTGGAAGGTGAGTAGTGCCATATAATATTAGGTATTAACTGTCGGGTGGCCAAGAACAGTTATTCTCCCAACTGAGATGATATCCCTCAACCCAGACATCTCACTCCTGGGAATGAATTCCATGGAAAAGTCCTCATCAATAAACAGAAACTCATATGCTTAGGGATGTCTGTTGCATCATTATTCAGAGTAGCAAGGAAATTGGGATCAAAGTTAATGCCTTTGAGTAGGTAAGTGACTAAATACATAATGATATCCATACTGTGAATGTTATGCAGGCATTAAAAAGATTCTTTTAGGCCAGGCGTGGTGGCTCACGCCTGTAATTCAAGCACTTGGGAGGTCAAGGCTGGTGGATCACCTGAGGTCGGGAGCTCAAGACCAGCCTGACCAACATGGTGAAACCCCATCTTAAAAATAAATAAACAAATAAAAATAAAAAGATTCTTTTAGCACTATGCCAGATGGTTTGGAGGCCTTCCATAAGGTATTGTTGAGTGATAAAAGCAAGCTGCAGAATGTAGGATCCAAAAACAAAACCCTAGGGCATGGTGGTTGGCCTCAAAGCTACTTGGGAGACTCAAGTAGGAGGCTGGCTTGAACACAGGTGTTTGCAGTTACAGTGAGCTATGGCTGCAACACTGCACTCCAGCCGGGGTAACAGAGCAAGACCTTTACCCCCACTCACCATCCCCGCCTCTAAAAAAAACAAAAACATAAAAAAAACTTTGTATTTGTGAGTACAGACACACACGCGCATGCGGTCCTAGTAAATAAGTAAAGCAAATGTCTAAATGTAACTATAAAAAGAATGAGATGTCACCTTTAGGCTGTACCGCCACTGCTTTCATTCTGCATAATTTCATTTTCTCTTTCTTTTCTTTTTCCTTTTTTCTTCTTTTTTTTGAGACAGAGTCTTGCTCTGTCACCCAGCCTGGAGTGTAATAGCACGATCTCAGCTCACTGCAACCTTTGCCTCCCCGGTTCAGATGATTATCCTGCCTCAGTCTCCCAAGTAGCTGGGATTACAGGTGCCTGGCACCATGCCTAGCTGATTTTTCTATTTTTAGTAGAGACAGGGTTTCATCATGTTGGCCAGCCGCCTGCCTCAGACTCCCAGAGTGCTGGGATTACAGGCATAAGCACCATGCCTGGCCTCAGAATTTCATTTTCAACATGTTTTGTGTGATGGATGATTTTAGAGTTTATTTATTTTTTCCTCTATCTCAGGATGATTAAGATGTGGACAAGGTGAAGCTGATGGAGGGGGAACTTTGAAAGTTAATTGTTAGGCGGGGTGTGGCGGCTCAAGCCTGTAATCCCAGCACTTTGGGAGGCTGAGACGGGCGGATCACAAGGTCAGGAGTTCAAGACCAGCCTGGCCAATATGGTGAAACCCCGTCTCTACTAAAATACAAAAATTAACCAGGGATGGTGGCACATGCCTTTAATCCCAGCTGCTAGGGAGGCTGAGACAGGAGAATTGCTTGAACCAGGATCCAGGAGGCGGAGGTTACAGTGAGCCGAGATCGCGCTACTGCGCTCCAGCCTGGGCTACAGAGCAAAGCTCCATCAAAAAAAAAAAAAAAAAGAAAGAAAGAAAGAAAAGAAAGAAAGTTAACTGTTATTTAATTAAAGAACTAAATTGCTCTGAGGGCCTGGGCACCAGATCCTTTCCCCTTTCCTCCTCCCCACCTGCAGTGCAAACATCAGACAATTGATCACTTTTGTATCTTGGGGGCGGGAGTGACCATTGCAGTGCGGTACTAGAAGACCGCATTGTATGCAGAACAACAAAGCACTATTTCTAGAGACTGACGGCAGGAATATGGAAATAGCTCTGTATGTCTCAGAATGTTCACACAATTGTTTTTACCGGGGAACTTCTACCTGTCAAAAAGTCTGATAGTGAGAACCGCTCCAGTGTGCCGATTGTCCTCCTTTCTGCTCAACAACTTCTTAGTTCACTAACTGCCTCTCCCAACAAACACCCTGTTTCACCACTCCAGAAAAGAAAGACAAAAACATCTAAAGACTTTGCCTCAGGAGGGAAAGTTGTCTTTCCAGTTGGTATCCACATTCCAACCTCCTCTTCCCACCTCTTAGTCTGCATGTCTAAGAAGCTACAAAGAAACTGTTTTACAAGTAAAGAAGGACCTGTTGCCTAGTCGGGAGCCAGGAAGTTGAGACAAATTTAGGAATGAGATGAAGTAACTACTACTGGGAGTGTCAGGTATAATCACCTCTGCTCTTTCTCTGAAGAGTTTCTAATCTCTCTTTTTGACTTATTTTTTTTTCCTGTCATTTTTGTGATTTTATTACTAGTTGTCTCTAATCCTTTCTTTAAATTCTTCATTATGAAACTTAAAAATAAACAAAGCAGGCCGGGCGTGGTGGCTCACGCCTGTAATCCCAGCACTTCGGAAGGCCGAGGTGGGTGGATCATGAGGTCAGGAGTTCAAGACCAGCCTGGCCAACATGGTGAAATCCCATCTCTACTAAAAATACAAAAATTAGCCACCTGTAATCCCAGCTACTCTGGAGACTGATGCAGGAGAACTGCTTGAACCTAGGAGGCAGAAGTGGAAGTGATCCGAGATCAGGCCACTGTACTCCAGCCTGGGCAATAGAGAGAGACTCTGTCTCAAAAAAAAAAAAAAAAAAATGCAAGTGGAATATTATAGCCAGCCTCTAAGTGCCTGCCACCTTGCTGCAGCACTTGTCAATAGGGACCATCCACTTCACTGGCTCCCCACTCATTACTACCCTCCCCTATTCAATTACTGAGGTAAATCCTAGGCAGCATGATCATTTGTTTAATTTTTATTTTTTTCTTTTTATTTATTTATTTCTTTTGAGACAGGGTCTGGCTGTGTCACCCAGGCTGCAGCGTAGTGGCATGATCTCTGCTCACTGTAGCATCTGCCTCCCGGACTCAAGCCATCCCGCCACCTGAGCCTACCAAGTAGCTGGGACCACAGGCACACACTACCTCAGGCTGCTAATGTTTTGTATTTTTTGTAGAGACTTGGTTTTGCCATGTTGCCCAGGGTGGTCTCAAACGCCTAGGCTCAAGCAGTTCTCCTACCTCAGCCTCCCAAATTGCTAGAATTACAGGCGTGAGCCACTGCAACCAGCCAAGAACAGTTTAAAATAAATAAATAACCACAATACTATTATCACATCTTAAAAACTCAATGAAAATTATTTTTTTTTCCTTTTTTCCTTTTTACGTGGGCCTCCCAAAGTGCTGGGATTACAGGAGCGAGCCACCACACCCAGCCTACGAAAATTTCTTAATATCATCAAATACCTAGTTTTTGTTCAAATTTTTCTGATTGTTTCATAAATACACTCTTACAGTTGGTTTCTCTTATCGAGATTCAAACAAGACCCATCTGTTGACGTTTGCCCTTAGGGTTTCCCATGGTCTGAATTTTGCTGACGACATTCCCATGTTGTTACGTAGCACGGTCCTCCATGCCTGTATTTTCCTGTAAACTGATAGATGTGGAGGTGCGATGACATTCGGGTCTGATTTACTTTGGCAAGTATAGTTAATCAGTGATGTTCTATACTTCTTGTTTCTTTACATCCGGAGGCTAATAATGTCTGCATTTCTCTTTTTTCTAATTATTTGTGAAAGTAAAAATGCGTGTGGGGGAGGGAGAAAAACTCTTAACGCACTTATTTGCTAAATCACATTGCTACAGGTAACTTCCATTAAGATTTTTTTTTTGTTTAAAGATGGGGTTTCACCATGTTGGTCAGGCTGGTCTTGAACTCCCGACCTCAGGTGATCCGCCCACCTTGGCCTCCAAAGTGGTTGGATTACAGGCGTGAGCCACCACGCCCGGCCTTTCCATTAAGATCTTGAAAGTAAAGTTTGCTGCGTGTTCCTCTAGGGAACAGGATAATAGACAGGAGCCTTAGTTTACGGCTTGAGGACTGTAATTATACCTAAGCAACTGCCCTGGACCAGTTTAACGTTACTAGCTGTGATGTATCCCTAACTTGGATAGCAATATCCTTTCTTAGCTCCCTTAAAACAGAGATCAAGATGGAAAGGGTTTCAGCTGCAGCATGGCACATGGAGTTTAGAGAAGGACTTTTGAATGCTGTGAAGCAGACCTAGCAGGGGAAATAGATGGGAGCCACAGAAGTGAAGGTCCTCCCTCCTTCATTACCCAACCTACTCCATACCTACTCCACACCTGCTCCACACCTACTCCATATCTGTATATCTGGTCACTTACTGAATCCTACTGTGTAAGCTACCTTTTTTTTCTTTTTTTTTTTTTTTTTTGAGGTGGAGTTTCCCTCTTGTTGCTCAGGCTGGAGTGCAATGGTGTGAACTCAGCTCACCGCAACCTCCACCTTCCAAGTTTAAGTGATTCTCCTGCCTCAGCCTCCAGAGTAGCTGGGATTACAGACATGTGCCACCACATCCGGCTAATTTTCTATTTTTAGTAGAGGCAGGGTTTCTCCATATTGGTCAGGTTGGTCTTGAACTGCCGACTTCAGGTAATCCTCCTGCCTCGGCTTCCTAAAGTGCTGGGATTACAGGCATGAGCCACCACACCCGGCCGAGACCCCCCCTCTTTTTTTTTTTCTGGAGACAGAGACAGAGTTTCGCTCTTGTCACCCAGGCTGGTGTGCAATGGTGCGACCTCGGTTCACTGTAAACTCCGCCCTCCAGCCAGGTTCAAGCAATTCTCCTGCTCAGCCTCCCGAGTAGCTGAGATTACAGGTGTACACCACCCCACCTGGCTAATTTTTGTATTATTAGTAGAGACAGGGTTTCACAATATTGGCCAGGGGTGCAGTGTTGGATGGGGTGCATTTGGTCAAACTCCTGACTTCAGGTGACCCACCTGCCTCGGCCTCCCAAAGTGCTGGGATTACAGACATGAGCCACAATGCCTGACTGTAAACTACCTTCTTAAAAGCTCTAGAAGGGGGCTCTTAACCATTTTTTGTGTGTCATGCACCTTTGGCATGCTGATGAAGCTGATAGACGCATCTCATTATTTTTTTTTTTTAATGGAGATGGGGTTTCTCCATGTTGGTCAGGTTGGTTTCAAACTCTTGACCTCAGGTCATCTGGCCACCTCAGCCTCCCGAAGTCTGAGATTATAGGTGTGAGCCACCGTGCCTGACTTTTTTTTTTTTCGAGACAGGGTGTCCTTCTGTCACCCAGGATGGGGTGCAGTGGCATGATCATGACTCATTGCAGCCTCCACCTCCCAGGCTCAAGTGATCCTCCTGACTCAGATCTTGAATAGCTGAGACCACAGGCTTGTCCCAACATGCCCAGCTACTTTTTAAATTTTTTTTATAGAGGAAGGGTCTCACTATGTTGCCCAAGCTGGTCTCGAGAACTCCTGGGCTCAAGCAGTCTTCTTGCCTTGGCCTTCCGAGGTGGTGGGATTACAGGGGCGAGCCACCACACCTAGCCAGAAGAATATTTAAATACACAAAATAAAACACTTATTCCAAAATACAGGTATCAAAATGTCAAATTAACAAGAGCTAGGGTGGCCCTAGTGATTAGTGTAATTTCAAAATACTAATGAACATAAGTGATAGTTTGAGATTTCTGTGACTTTTCATTTTGTCATTTGTTTGTTTGTTTTAGATCGAGTCTCGCTCTGTCGCCCAGGGTAAAGTGCAATGGCACAATCTGGGCTAACTGCAACCTCCGCCTCCCGGGTTCAAGTAATTCTCTTGCCTCAGCCTCCTGAATAGCTGTGATTACAGACTCATGCCACCACGCCTGGCTAATTTTTGTATTTTTGGTAGAGACAGGGTTTTGCCATGTTGGTCAGGCTGGTCTCAAACTCCTGACCTCAGGTGATCCGCTTGCCTCAGCCTCCCAAAGTGCTGGGATTACAGGCGTGAGCCACCTTGCCCAGCCAAAAATCACAAATATTTTCATATCACATTAGAAATGTCATAGAATGCCGGGGGTGATGGCTCATGCCTGTAATCCCAGCACTTTGGAAGGCCGAGGCAAAAGGATCATAATGTCAGGAGTTTGAGACCAACCTGGCCAACATGGTGAAACCCTGTCTCTAGTAAAAATACAAAAATTAGCCTGCCGTGGTGGCATGAGTCTGTAATCACAGCTACTCAGGAGGCTGAGACAGGAGAATCGCTTCAATCTGGGAGGCAGAGGTTGCAGTGAGCCAAGATCATGCCACTGTACTCCAGCCTGGACGACAGAGCAAGACCCTACCTTAAAAAAAAAAAAAAAAAAAAAAGAGAAAAAAGAAGAAAGAAAGAAAAAGAAAATATTTGTGATTTTTATTGACGACAAAATCAAAGGTTCTCTTCATATTATTGTAGTGTATTGCCTACAGACATAATTAAAATAAACACTAAATTTCAGTTTAAAGGTTATTGAAAATAAAAATGTATTTTTTATCCCCTATTTAAGCTTTGAATCCCCTGACTTCCTATACTGTTACCACTGTCTTAGTTCAGGCTCACGTTGCTTTTTTTTTTTTTTGACAGCAGCACCTATTTATTAGACAATTCCAGGTCATTTGAACACCGCCTCGCTGGGTGGGAAGGGGGTCGGGAGGGGGCGCACAGGGACACCTGGACAGCAGGGAAGTGAACACAAACTGCTGTCTTTCCTTTTCGGTTAAAGAAAAAAAACTGTAATCAACATCCCAATCGTAAGTAAAAGTGGGAAGGAAAAAACTTGATTGCTTTAATGTGGCATTTAGACATCTCCTCCCATGTCATATGCACAGTTTATTTGGGTAATGCTACTGTCACCAGCAGAACACTGCAACCTCTGCCTCCCAGGTTCAAGTGATTCTCCTGCCTCAGCCTCCCTAGTAGCTGAGATTACAGGTGTGTGCCACCACGCTAGGCTAATTTTTTATTTGTTTATTAGAGATGGGGTTTCACCATGTTGGCCAGGCTGGTCTCAAACTCCTGACCTCAGGTGACCTACCCACCTCAGCCTCCCAAAATGCTGGGATTACAGGTGTGAGCCACTGCGCCTGGCCGTTACCAGAGTCTCTTAACAGATTTCCCTATCTTTTCCAGCACTATAAGTGCTAAATCTGATGTGGTCACTTCTCAGCTTGCAGTCCTTCAGTACACTCCCATGGCCTTGAGGATCAGATCTAAGTCCCTTACCTGCTCCTTAACACCCCCCCACCACAGCCTGACCCAAGACACAACCTTGACTTTAAACCACTTGTCATTCTAAACCACTAGCATTTCCTAGAAACAAACCCACTTTTCCTTCAAGGCTAAGCTCAAGGGTCAATTCTGTGTCACCTTCTTTGAATCTTGATGATATTCATTTCTTTATTCGACCTGATTTATTGGGCCCCAGGCACCATGCTGGGTGTTGAGGATTCAGCTCTTGGCAACGTCGGTCTTGCCTTTCAGATCCCTTCTACTGGGTCAGCCCTGGAGTGCTGGTTCTCCTCGCAGTGCTGCCTGTGCTCCTCCTGCAGATCACCGTGGGTCTCGTCTTCCTCTGCCTGCAGCATAGACTGAGAGGTACAGGGCAGAGGGTGGGTGGGTCAGGATCCTTCCTTTACATGAGCTGGCTTCTTGGATCAACACCACTTAACATGTATTTGTGAGTGACTTCTGGGTTCAGAAAGTCTTCTCATTATTGAGTGATAAAGAAGAAAAAGAACTCCATGATAAAAAAGCGTTTTGCTCCATAATGAAATGCTAGGTTCTTTTATTCATATGAAAACATTTGTTTTCATATGAATAAAAGAACCTAGCATTTCCCTATGAGCTAACTATGGCATATAGCAACCCCGTTTTACAAAGAATGCAACTGAGGCCAGGATTAGTTCCGTGACTTACTCAAACTGATATAGCTTGTAAGTGGTAGAGTTGAGGCCTCTGTATTATACCTGGCAGCTCCATGCAACTTGGGAGAGTGTGAGCTTCTAAGTCAGACAGGTCTAGGCTATTAGGAGTGTTAAATAGGCCGGGCACGGTGGCTCACACCTGTAATCCCAGCACTTTGGGAGGCTTAGGTGGGTGGATCACAAGGTCAGCAGTTCGAGACCAGCCTGGCCAATATGATGAAACCCCATCTCAACTAAAAATATAAAAATTAGCCTGGCATGGTGGTGGGCGCCTGTAGTCCCAGCTACTTGGGAGGCTGAG